TTTTTTTTTTTTTTTTGGTGGTACTAGGTATTGAACACAGGACCTGCACTTGCAAGGCAGGTGGCAGCACCATTGAGCTAAATTCCTGGCCCATATTGAATTTTTTAAACCCTTGTTCTTAGAGGGGAAAAAATAACCCTAGTGCTTTTGGCCTGCTTTTTTGTGCTATTCACAATGAACATACCCTGGTACTTGATGCTCCAGCAGCTTAGAATACATAATTTGGAATCAGAGGGACATGAGTGTGAATCTTGCCTTAGCACTTGCCAATATGACCACAGACAAATTTCTTAACCTCATGGGTCTCCTCATCTAGGAAAATTGGAAATAACACTTCCCATATCATAGGATTGTAGGGAGGATTGAATAAGAGAGCAACATAAGTGCCAAATAAATGATTAGCAAAACCGTCATGTACAAAGAGGTAGTTAACTTAAACAGACATAAAACCTGTCCTCCCCAGCTATCCTTGCCCTCTTCCCGGATGCCCCCGCTGCTAAGACTCGCTTAGCATTAGTCCTCAGGGAAGCTTCTGGTAGGATTGTGCTGGGAGCAGAGGTGCATTATGCTATGTAGAGTTTCTCTGGCCATCCCTTTCTGCCCTTTCTCCTATGGGCCAGAGCCCAGGTATGAGGAGCAGGGATGGTGATCAATGCCTAGCCGTCCTGTGGATCAGCTGCGCTGTTAAGACAGGAGCCTTGCCTTTCCTGGTCCCCACTTTTAGATAAACCTTTACTCCTGATTGGGGCTGTTCTGCATATTGTTGGCCCACCCTTCCCTGTCCCACCCAGGTGACCTCCATCCATCACCAAGGATGGGCTCGTCACTGACTTTCCTGACCACCAAGGCAAGTGTGTACTGCTTCCCGAGGGAGAGACTGTGACCCTTCCTACAGCTTTCACATGTGGGACTGTGATTGTCCATGAGGTTCACAGCAATGGTGGTTGTGTGAAACTTGCCACTTCTCTTCTCAGGAAATTAGGACCGAGCGGGAGAGAAAATAAAAAGAGGCCGAGTCAGTCACTGCTTTCTCTGTTGGACTAAGTAATAACCTGCAGTATTACCTTGATTTCTGAAACATTGCTGCAGGTGTCGACCTGGTTACTATCATCTGGATGCAGGAAATCCTGAGGGCTGTACCCAGTGTTTTTGCTATGGACATTCAGCCAGCTGCCACAGCTCCACGGACTACAGTGTCCATAAGATCACATCTACCTTCCAGCGAGGTATGGTGCTCCATTCTCTAGGGCTTTAGTTTTAGTGTGTACAGGGAAGGCCTTACACATACAACCACCTCCCCATCTGTAGGATGGATGGCCAAGTCATCTTTGTAGTTTTTTTCTTTAAAATAGTCTTTTCTTAAAAAATTAGTACATGTATATAGCATAAAATGCTTATATTCCTTGTGAGGGATTGGTACATGTACACAACACATTTTAAATCCTTTTTTTCATGCTCTTTCTTTTTCTTTCCTCCCCATACCATACATCTCTTAGGTGTCTTGAAAGAGTTATAGTTGACTAGTTTATTCATACCAGTGTATAAATGATTTTAAGATAACTGAAAAGAGGCTAGCTTTGTATCTTCCTGTATTTCTTTCCGTGTCTCATTTAAAAACACACAAAAAAAAAGAGCTTGCCTAGCTTACATGAGGCCCTAGGGTCAACCCCAGTACTAGAAGAAAACAGAAAACCAAAAAAACACTAAAGAGCCAGGGAAAGTGACACGTACCTAAAATCACAGCCTCTTGAGAGGCTAAATCAGCAGGATCACAAGTTGAAGCTCAGCCTGGACAGTTTAGCAAGAGCCTATCTCAAAATCAAATTTTAAATAAGGGCCAGAGACACAGCATGCACAAGGCCCCAAGTTTACTTCCTGGTACCACAAGAAACAAACAAAATAAATAAATTATGTCTAAAGACACAAAGGAATGATTCATTTGGATTTGGGGGTTAATGAGAGTGACCCTAGGATCCACACCCACTAGTAACACTGCTTTTTCACATATTAAATAAGTTAATCTGAAATTAGTCACCAAGTTACAGACAATATAAAAATACTGGGAATTTATATTATTTCAGTTAGGCTGAGTTTCTGTTTGAATATATTAGGGCCATTCACCTCACTGGGGTCAGGCCTTGTTTATGTAAATACAATAAAAATCCAAATCACAAGCAGATGAAAACATGCTCTCTCATCACAAGAGTCAGATCCAAAGATGAGAAGTGAAAGCGGCAGTGGGCTGGGAGCAGGGCAGTGGACACCTAAGCAGAGAAGCCCACGGGGAATTGTGGACACTAAAGGAATGTGCAAGCACAGAAAGCCCCTTTCTGCTCACCCCGGGCCTTCTTGGCACACAAGCCCGGCCTTCTTCAGCTCTATGGATCCATGCGGGTTTGTCTCTCACGCACAGTGGTTTTATCTGTGTTCCAGATGTTGATGGCTGGAAGGCTGTGCAAAGAAATGGGTCTTCTGCAAAGCTCCATTGGTCACAGCGTCACCGGGATGTGTACACCTCAGCCCGAAGAGACACTGTCTTTTTTGTGGCTCCTGGTATGTGAGGGATAATTTTTCTTACAGCAGTCAGTTTATGCGATTGGGAAGTCAGGATAGAAAAAATGAGTTAGAAAATATGAAATCCACATACCTTGGTGTTCAGGACAGCAGTCTTTCCAGGAGTCAGCTGGGTCACTGCAACGTGGCACTCTAGGACAGAAGGGAATGTCCCGGAGGTCAGAGCCTGGCTGGGCTGCCTTTAATAAAATGGAAAGTTTCTAGGCTCCCACTGAGATAAGAAATCAAAAACTACAGTGAATTATGTGAATCTGTTGAGAAGCAAATGGAAAAACAAAGCATTTCTTAAAGCTCTAAACATTTATGGATTATATATATACATATCAGTGATATGGGCCTAACTAGAAAAGCTCTAGCTAGAATTCTAGTCCTAGGTGATATCCTTAGCCAATAAAGGATTCCTGCCAAGTTGTTCTTTTAACCTCTCTGAACTTCAGATGTCTGAACAAATAATTGGGAATGGGAATGCCAATCTTCAAGAATTACTGCCATCAAATATGATGGTGTGTGTGAAAATATTCTGTAAATTATGAAACAGTATATAGCATGTGTGCGATTGCTGATTTACCTGGGATCTTTATATATCAGCCATAAGGGCCATGCTATGGCCCATCTAGCAGATGGATCTGTCTTCTAATGAGGCCATTTTAGCATTTCTGTCACTAATGATGCAGTCCTGTCCAGTGCTGGGCACTGATGCTTCTGCTAGGGTGGTTTGGGGCAGGACTGTGGGTGGGTAACATAAGATACCCACAGAAATAGCCCACATCGATGCAAACTTGCATGTGTTTGCCTTTTCAGCTGCACAGGTGATATTTCTAAAAATTCTATTTCGCAGCCAAATTCCTTGGGAATCAGCAGGTGAGCTACGGGCAAAGCCTGTCTTTTGACTACCGTGTGGACAGGGGAGGCAGACACTCATCTGCTCACGATGTGATCCTGCAAGGTGCCGGTCTGCAGATCACAGCTCCATTGATTCCACGTGGGAAGATACTGCCCTGTGGAATCACCAAGACTTACACGTTCAGGTAAAAAGAGAGACAACAAATAGGGCAAATAGAGAAAACTGTGGCCGAAGTCCAAGTCCCTCATTCACTTGTTAGCCATGATTCATGCATTCGGTGAACTCTGAGCATCTTTTACTTACTGGGCATGGCATTATGCGCTGAAACAGGACATGGTTCCTTCCCTTAAGCAGCTGACAGGCTAATAGGAGAGCAAATAAACAGATGATAGCAGAGTGGACTGTCAAGGGATGGAGAGAGGGTGGACGCAGGTGTCTTGAACACACGTGGGCACAACTGACTTGCATTTGAGTGACTGAGGGACGCTTCCCAAGAAGACACTGCAAGTGTGAAGAGCGGGGGAAATGTTAACAAGGCAGAGGAAATGGCATGCTTGAGTTTCGTGGGGCTAAGAAATTCCTAGTAGTGAAGCATGAGTAGAGCAGAAAGTGGGGAAGAGGACTACAGTGACAGGTGAGGTCAAGAATGGCCTTGTATCTGTAGAGACTGCTGCTATACAGTAGGGATTTTGAATGGTGTATTCAGAGAGGATGGGGAAGAAAGCTGTGCTTACTAAGTTCAGTATTGCATTAGAGGTGATGAAAGAAAGATGAGACATGGTATTTGTCCGATAAGAGCTCACACTCTAGTGGGATATATAACATAAAAATAAGCATAATGGAAAACAATAACTGCTTTTATAGTGGAACATGTTCACGGGGTCTTGAAAAGAGCCTCATTCTGCCTGGAGGAGTCAAGGAAAGCTTTAGAAAGAAGGCAGCATGTGGGCTGAGAATGGACAGATGCAAATCTAGAGGAAAGGTCATTTGAATTTATGTGGACATTTAGGAAGGCTTAATATAAACGAGAACCAATATTTATGGTTGGAATGCAGCATATACAGGGGACGTGGGCAGATGAGATAGAAAAGACTGGAAAAGGACAGTGGCCTTGTGTGCCGTGCCAAGATGCTTAGATCTTGTCCATGCCAGAAAGACGATGATGGAAAAGGTGAGGGAAAGCCACTGGGAGATTATAAATTGAGAAGTATGATGGTCAGATGTGAGGCTAGGTGTAGCCATTGGAAGATCAGCACCGGAGGACAGTTCAAGTAGATCCTTAGCTGGACCATTGGAAAATGTTTACAGTGGTTCAAGTGAGGATAGAACCCAAAGGATGCACAGGGCCTAACCTAAATCAAAGGTAAAATGAGTGGAGAAAGGAAGACTCACGGTACACACACAAGGTGGGCACTTGAATAACTACGTGTTGCTTAACCTAATGATACACTTATCCTAATGATACATGCAACGTTCTTCATGAAATATTCATTGCCACTTTCTTGGCTTGGAGGACTAACTCTGAGATTCAGCTTATGTGTTCTTCCTTTGTATTTGCCACAGAATCCCAGGAAAACTGTAGTCACCTGCATGCCTCTGTGGAATTCTGTGCACACGTGTGTAATAGCACTGACTGTATTGAGTCAGAACTGCTTGTTTGTCCACCAGCTCCTCTGGCTGGATACCGATCACCTCTTCCTAGGTATCACACCATGTTTAATCCGAGTCACCTGGCACAGTCACCTTCTAATAAAATGAAATGAAAAGAGTAGGGTTGTTGCTGGAAGCAATTTTTAAGTAAAAAACAAAACAACATTTAAAAGAATAGCTCAAGGGCTAGTGATATCGTGGCACAAAAACACCCTTTAAGAAGTATTAGATGTGGGCAATGTAGAAGATAGAAACCGTGTTTTGCAAAGTGAAATGTGCTCACATGATAAATCATTTCAAGAACAAAACCCAAATGAATGGTAGCTCTAGAGGATGTGAACTAACATTAGATTGTGCATGGCCAAGGATACAGCATTACCTGAGATGGCATGACCTGTGGAGCCAGGCTTTCCACTCTGGTGTGCCCTCCCTGAGTTCCATGGGCTTTAGCCTTCCTTTTCAGAGAGAAAGCTCCAAGTCTGTGCCTACGCAGAGGAAGCTAACAGTCCTTCATCCCCTTCTGGTAGGGTAGCCAGCAGGCGTAGTTGTTCTCACATTCTCAGGTGTAATTTGTATCAGTTAGCAATGTAATCTGGGTTGTGTTTTAATTTTTTTAAATTTTCAATTACACAGATTAAATGAACATCCAAGCAGTAACTGGAGCCCCCAGCTGAGTTATTTTGAGTTTCGAAGATTACTGCGAAACCTCACAGCCCTCTGGATTCGAGCTACGTACGGAGAGTACAGTAAGGGAATAGGAGAAACGAAGTTCTCCTCTTGGGTTTTAGTTTAATTTGCTTCAGCCGTCTGAGGTGGTGGTGGTCTCCAAACAAATAGAAAAATTAGTTGATGGCTTTCACTTGAGAGTCTGAATTTTTATATTCTAGAAGAAATGTTTGTCTAAAAAGGGGTCAGCACCAAATACTGAATGATGCTACCTCAGTAAAGAATCTCTGAATTTCTACTAATGCTGACTATTTGAAGGAAGTAAAAATTGCTTAGATTGGAATTATTTAAAGGAGAGTTTATTAAAAGTTTTATCACTTATACCAATCTCCATGTCACTAATGGAGCAAATAAAGCAGAAATTAGAAAAAGTGTTTATTAGCACAATGTGCTCAGTGCATTATGACATGTACTGTACTACAGAACTATCAAAACAAGCAGAGGAAATACCAGTGTTCTCTTCTACAGTTGAAGAAAAGCAGTCATGAAGAGAATAAGTGATTTGCGCAATTCACACAGCCTGTGAGGATGGAGGCAGACTAGTACTGCTGCTTTTCCTGACTCCAGAGTATGTGTCCTCCGTCCCTCTGTGGGCTGTGAGCTGTACTCTCATGTGGCTCAATGTGTGGATACTGCGTGTTAGGGAGTTAACAAAATAAAATCCAATACAGTTGCTTAGGCCTTACCACTTGCTTCTTCTAACCTGTTCTCTCTATTGCAGATACTGGATATATTGACAACGTGATCCTGATTTCGGCCCGGCCCGTCTCTGGAGCCCCAGCACCCTGGGTTGAACATTGTATATGTCCTGTTGGGTACAAGGGGCAGTTCTGCCAGGACTGTGCTTCTGGCTACAAAAGAGATTCAGCAAGACTGGGGCCTTTTGGCACCTGCATTCCATGTAACTGCCAAGGGGGAGGGGCCTGTGATCCAGACACAGGTAAGTGAAATGACACCTGGACCAGGTGGCTGGGGTGCAGGCAGGTGACCAGGCTCACCTGTGGAAAGGTAGATTTGAGTAAGAAATATCGCGCTTGATCTCATTTCCTAGATGGGAAGGATGAGGGTGAGTAGGGCTGCAGTCAGGGAAGCTGGACACAGTGCCTTGTTACATTCGGTCCTCCTCATTATGGAAATGCCACAAGTTGTGAGAAAGGTGCTAGGTTGCAGGAAATGACTGTCACGGTTCAGTGCAAGCTGTGGGGGGGCATTGGTGTCGAGTTGCAAGATTTGTTTGGGGAGATCAAAGGCAAGTCAGGGTCTAAAATGAATGGCCAACAAATGGTGTTAAACAGTGTTAACTCATGCATAGTAAAGAAGGAGTGTGTCCACTTCACAGAAGATGGAGGATGAGATTCAGAATCTAGACAGTCTTCAAAACTGGTACAAAGGTAGGGATGAAGATGCTGAGAACTGGAAGAAGCTTCAGAAAGGAAGGTTTCTGCACCCTGATCCCCTCACACCATCCTTACTGAAGGAAGCGTATAGTCTGACTGCTCATTTCTCTGCCTCTCCATTCTCCTGCCTCCCAGGAGATTGTTATTCAGGGGATGAAAATCCCGAAATCGAGTGTGCTGACTGTCCCATTGGTTTCTACAATGATCCGCACGACCCCCGCAGCTGTAAGCCGTGCCCCTGTCACAATGGGTTCAGCTGCTCCGTGATGCCGGAGACAGAGGAAGTGGTGTGCAACAACTGCCCCACTGGGGTCACTGGTAAGGCCGCTGGCCTGCTCTGTAGCCAGCTTCTTCCTCTCCTGATGCTGGGATGCATGTCAACAGCTCTCGTCCCAAGCAATTCCTAGGAAATTATAATCACTTCAGATTAATCCAAATGTGCTTGTTCTAAAGGGGTGAGGTGGACTGAGCAGGGAGAGACTGCACAATTACGAGAAGAAACAACTAACACTATTTTGGAAGGTTTGCAATTAGGAGATGAAGTTTCCTGATCAAATGGTTTAATTTAAAAAAAATAATTTTATCAGTACAGTTTAGATATACATAATGATCACATTCATAGGGAATTTGTACCTGTATGTAATGTATCTTGCTATTACTTTTTTTCCAATTCCTCTCCCATCTTATCTAGAAAAGCCTCATTCCAAAGAAAAAAATGGAAAGGAAGAAAAGCAATTTAATTATTTTTTTAATGACTCAAAGAAGGAAAATGTAGTGACCTCTTGGATGTCACATCTCTCTGCCAGTCAATCTAAAAGAATTCATTCTTCAGTAACTGCTCATTGCTCAAAACCTCACCACTTCTGTGTTGCTGCTAGTATTTTCCCAATGAGCTAGTCAGGCCTCCTAGTGGAGTGCTGTGCTCTAAAATGCGAGGTGACCATGGACTAATAGCACCAATTCCTGCCATGTTCACCTGCTCCTGAGGGCATCGTTTTGGGGTCCTGGGGAAAGCGCATTTCCCTGGCTCTTCTAGGGGGTATCTGTGTCTGGTCCTGCTGCCAGTGTTGATGGCTGGGCCATTTGTTCCTGTTTCTTCCCAGGTGCCCGCTGTGAGCTCTGTGCTGATGGCTACTTTGGGGACCCCTTTGGGGAACATGGCCCGGTGAGGCCTTGTCAGCCCTGTCAGTGCAGCAACAATGTGGACCCCAGTGCCTCTGGAAACTGTGACAGGCTGACAGGAAGGTGTTTGAAGTGTATCCACAACACAGCAGGTTTCAACTGTGACCAGTGCAAAGAAGGCTACTTTGGAGACCCATTGGCTCCCAATCCAGCCAACAAGTGTCGAGGTAGGAGTACATCCCAGACAAGCTGCATCGGGGTGTGTGTGTGTGTGTGTGTGTGTGCACGTGCATATATAAGCTTGATAGTGTGTACATGTGTAAGCAAAGGCAAGGCAAGGGCAGTTAATATAATGATGCAACTTTAGTTCTCTGGCTAAACTAGCCTACGAACAGCCTGCATCTTTCACCTGTCAAAGGCCTTGACAGTTTCCCCTGCACAGGACTCTAGAAGACATGGCTGGAAGCTTTCACATGGTGAAAGCTGGGTGGGTAAAGTGAAAAAAGGTCAGGTTGACATGTCTAAGTGGAAGAGCAGATAAAATGCAGTGACCGCCCATGCCCAATCCAAAGGGAAATAGGCAGGAGAGTGGGTGCCAGAGCTGCTATAGAACAGTAATAAACGACTCCAGGCTCAGCCTAAGCAAACTTAAACAGGGAGGGGAGTGGGCTATAATGAAGCTTAAGAGACCCTCTCAGGAAGTGAGTGTAATTAATGCATAGAAGATAATATTGAAAGTTCTCCAAAGGAGACCCCACTTCAAAGCAGCAGCTATCATGAAGCCTTCCTAAGGGCTGCTCCAGATCAAAGCGTAAGTGTGCAGATCGGTCCTCATACTCTGCTCTTTTCTCAGTACTGAGCTCAAGCCCAGTTTTGTAACATACCTATTGAATTGTGCTGATTATGCCAATGATTCCACACAGGTGTGAAGTATTTAACTTAAAATAGTTGCAAAGATCAAACAAAATGGAAGATAAGAAAGCATACTGTAAACTCTGCATACTTCCAGCTATAAGATGTCATTAATAGAGATTTTGCGGCTTTAGACTATTTATTTCCTTTCTTTTTTGCCATACTTGGAGTTGAACCCAAGGCCTTTGCATGGAGCTACATCATGATCAAGATCTCATGAAGACCTTAAGTTGCCCAGGCTGGGCTTTAACTCCTGATTCTCCTGACTCACCCTCCCAGTGTCTTAGGATTACTGATGTGTGCCACGTCTGGTTTAGCACATATATTTCTTCATTCTGAAGCACCTACCATGTGCATAGTGTGGACCCAGCTACTAAAGTTACAATGATAAACAAATCAGTCCCAGCACCCAAAGAACTTATATGCTAATAAGGAAGATACATAAATATGTATGCAAATAATGACGGTGCACTTACACGCAAGATCAGTGTTTTGTGAACACAAAGATCAAGCATCCTAGAGAATCACTGTGATCATTATATTACTGTCTCACCCACTGTTACATCTTTGACTCTTAAGACAACCTAACACACACTAAGTAAACAATAAATTTGATTGAATCAATAACGGTGCTGCTTTCTTATTGAGTTTCCTACATCAAAGGCAACAGAGCAGAAGGAAAACAGTCTTGCTTTCTCAGCCCCCATTGCGGCTTCCCATTTATTTGCTGTAGAATGGTTGGGCAAATTATTCAACCTCTTTGAGCTCCCATTTCTTATCTGTTAAACCAAGGGAGATGTTTACCTCTGGCACACAATAGGCCAAAGAAATGAGGTTCACCTTGTAAGCAAAGCCTGAGTGCCGGCAGAAAATTCACCAGGCTTACAGTTTAATGAGAAGAAAAAAAAGATGAACTGTTGTGATATCTTTTCATCCATACACACTAAATAAACAGGTAGGTGAGTCCTGAGGCTGACCTGTGTCAGGAATGTGCTGGAGGCATTGCCAAGGGAGGACTCTGACACAGGGTGAGTGACAAGGGCAAAGAAAGGGTTTTGCCACTGTGGCTTGCTCTTCTTGCTTTTATATCCTTGCTATGCCTCCCAGTTTCTGGGATGAGATGGATATGAATTCTCCATTTGTCTCTCTCTTCTCTAGCTTGCTACTGCAACCCTATGGGTTCGCAGCCTGGAGAGTGTCGGAGTGATGGCAGCTGTGTTTGCAAGCCAGGATTTGGTGGCCTCAACTGTGAGCAGGGAGCATTACTCAACTGTCCAGCTTGCTATGGTCAAGTGAACACTCAGGTAGGCCTTCCTCTCCTTACCACCTCCCACCCACCCAGACTCAGATCTGTAAGTGTCCCCTGGGCGATTCTGTCTCAGTGAGGACACCCCACACCTGTCTCCTGGGGATGGGAGGTTACTGTCTCTTTAAAACTTATTGTAAAAAAAAATTCCTTATAGTAATGATAATATTTATTTCCCTTCACATGCCATTCTCAGACCCCCTCTTGTAGACAACATCGTGTTTGGTCCTCATGAAAGCTTGGTCAAATTGAAAGAGAAAATATTTGATCTCAGCTTTTGCTAGTCAAATAAAGTCCTTGAAATTAAAGTGGTATGGCCAGGTGAAATTGGGAAGGTCACTCTGTCCCCTAGACTCTCTGAGTCCAGTGCTCTTGCCACTATAATGTGCCCTTTTTGTCTAAAATTTTTTTCCCCAGATGACGTCCTTGTGAAATAAATGCAGAAAAATATACACACGTAAAATATTTGTGTACTCCAGAAGGGGTCAAGGCTGTCCCAGCAAGAATGACTTTCAGAAATTTCTCACATATAGTCCAGAGAAAAGCAGACTTGATGTTGTTGACATTATTAATAATTATTTTTTTGGTATGAGGCGATAAAAAGATCCCAACATAATTTCAAATGTAGAAGACACTCCATCTGTTTTTTAAGTGTCTCTATTTAGCAAGATTTATAGCACTTTCTCAGTGCCAGGCTTTATATTAAACGCTTTACAAATATTAACTCGTTTAGTGCAAGTCATAACTCTGTGAGATAGTATTAGTGTGTTTATCATCTCCACTTCCTAGATAAATAGCTTGCCCAAGACCCCACAGGGAGAGCAGTAGGGCCAGGATTTATACAGGCTGTAAACTTTCAACCACCATGACATATCCAGCATTTCTGGCCTTTCAGGCTCTGTCTCCTGGGTACCTGGTATTGGGCTGAGGTCTTTATCCTCTGTTCTGATTTTCTTTCAGATGGCTCTGTTTATGGAGCAGCTTCAGGGCCTGGAGGACTTGATTTCAAAGGCCCAGGGTGGTGATGGCCTAGTACCCAATTCAGAGCTGGAAGGCAGGCTGCAGCAGGCTGAACAGACCCTTCAGGATATTCTGAGAGAAGCCCAGATTTCAGAAGGTGAGGAGAGCCAGCTTCCCTTCAGGCAGGAGAGGGGTCCTGTCCTGGGTAGAATCGCTGCAGCACACCCCAGAATTTTCTGTGGACATCGGTTCAGCAGACGTCTCCAGCGACCCTTGCCCAGGTGGAAGGAGTGTCTGTGATGGTCCCCTGGACCTGAATGGTGGAGGTGAAAGAGCAGTGCATCTACTCGCCCATGGGTTTTACCATTTGCCACGAGCAGTCAGCCCCCGATCACTTGAGATAACTCTGCACTGCCCCGGAAAGTTCTCAGCCTCCTTTTTCTTCTTTGTGCCCAGATGCTAGTAGATCTCTCAGTCTCCAGTTGGCCAAGGCAAGGGACCAAGAGAACAACTACCGGAGCCGCCTGGATGACCTCAAGATGACTGCGGAAAGGGTTCAGGCCCTGGGCAGTCAGTATCAGAACCGAGTTCAGGATACTCGCAGGCTCATTGCGCAGATGCGCCTGAGCCTAGCCGAAAATGAAGCTTCCCTGAGCAACTCGGTAGGGGTGATGGCATTGAAAATCACTGCCGTGTTCAGATACTCACCTGTAGATCTCACTGGGTAACTTTCTGCCTCTCAGGGTTTTTGGTCTATTTGGCAGGAAGTTGGACTTCCCTTCCTTGTAAAAATCAAATCTATTCTGTATATCTTTGGCCTGAAATTTCCTATTTGATGCTCTCCTTTCTAGTTCATTTCTTTCTTTTTTCTTTTTTTTTTTTTTTTTTTTTACTGGGGATTGAACTCCAGCCCTTGCGCTGGCAAGGCAGGCACTGGAACCGCTGAGCTAAGTAAGTCCCTGGCCCCTAGTTCATTTCTTTCTAACCATGTCCTCCACTTGACTCTGTCTTTCCTTCTTTCTGGAGGATTTAGTTTTGTTCAATTTGTATTCTCAGCCCACAGTGGGGCCGTTGCAAACGCCTGCTGTCTAAATGAGTGAATGGGCAGGGGAATGAATAAATGTTTGAGAAGGGAAGGAAGGAAAGAAAGAAGGAAAGAAGGCAGGAAGTAGCCCAATGAGACATACGGGAGCTCTGAAAATGGAAAGAAAAAATTGTTGCCAGCATGATTTTCCTAATGATGCGGTTTGTAGTGTGATAGGAGGGAGAGAGTTCATTGAGTCCTCTTTTATCATTGGATAAAGAAGTCTCTGGTGACAATAATGTAAGTGTATAGATAGGAAATGAAGAAAGGAAACTCAAAACTAGATAATATGATAAAGAATGCACATTTAAAATGTATATTGATTTTTCCCTTATTATAAAAATGTTATTGTAGAAAATGCAGAAAATTTAAAATTCCCACTGGTACCATGACTACTGTTAAACTCGATGTTACTGGGCTTTAAATACATAAATTTGTTTATATTTATATGTCCATGTATATATATATATTCTTTCTTCCCTCAGTACTGGGGATTAAACCAGGACCTTCAGACTGGGCTACATCTCCAGTCTTTTTTTATTTTTTATTTTTATTTTTTTGGTACTGGGAATCAAAGTGGGGACTTTGCACTTGTGAGGCAGGCGGCAGAACCACTGAGCTAAATCCCTGGCCCTTATTTATTTATTTTTTTTATTTTCAGACAAGGTCTCACTAAATCACTGAGTTCCTCAGGCTATGCTCATTCTTGTGGTCCTCCTACCCCAGCCTCCAGCAGTGCCGATATCACAAGAGTGTACCAGCGTGCTCAACTACATTTATATATTTTTAATACATCTGTATCTTTCTACAGACTTTTTAAAAGCCTGGATTTGTGCTTTGCTCTTCTCTATTCCTGCTTTTTTAAATGGAGTAATTGTAGTGAATGGGGAATTGATGAATCAGGGTGTGGGATCCTGTGTGGCTAATGACAAGCGGTGCTAATATTTAAACCATACTTGCATAGTTAGGCTCCATGGCCAAGTGCAAAGCCTTCATCAGTTCTTCTTTTGCCACAGGACATTCCTCGCTCTGACCAGTATGTGGGACCAAATGGCTTTAAAAATCTGGCTCAGGAGGCCATGAGGCTGGCAGACAGGTAAGCAGCATTAGAAGGCACCTCTGATCTAGTCCATCTCTGTAAGGCAAACCTGAACAAGGCTATAGGATATTCAGGACCCAAGTGCCAGAGTCATTCCCTCTGTGCTCATATAAGTCATCCCGTCTTGAAGTCTGTTTTTTTTTGTGGTGCCAGGGATCGAACTCATGACCTTGCACTTGTGAGGCAGGCAGCAGAACCCCTGAGCTAAATCCCTGGCCCTTGAAGTCATTTTTCAGCCACTTGCTTTTAGTATAAGTCACTGGGCAGAGTTATATGGCAGGAGGTGGAGGTAGTGGCCTTTCATCCCTGGATTTCTCTGTGACTCACAGTATGGCCTTGGTGCATGTCAGATGTAATCCCTTGGGTCACATGAAATAAATCAGCCTTTGGGAAAGGACGTTCTGCAGTCTCTGGAAAAGGATGTTCTGCAGCTTTTAAGGACTCCTAGCCTCCCAAACCAAGTCTGGGAACAAGTAGAAACAAGTAGCTTGCTAGCCTGGAGAAGAGGGGGTGGGGAGGGCAAGTGTGTAGAAGGGAGACTTCTTCCTGGAAGCCAGCTCCACAGGACCCAGTGGTAAATGGCTGCTCTTTTGGTCTTTGCCTCTGAATATAAATCCAATCATGTTTAAGAGGCTTGCTTGTAGCAGGGTGCTCAGCAGGGTGGCAGGCTCTGTTAATCCCAAATGGAATTCAGTCAGTGAAAGGGGCTGTGTTTTTTTTTTAGCACGGCCTGCCTCCTGAGCCTGTGTTTTGTTGTTTTTTAAAATATCACTTCCTAAAACCAGGAGTACAGAAGTTTATAAGGAACTTTTTTTTTTTTTTTTAACAGACTTTGTTCCCCTGGCTGTGGATCCATTTTAGAATTGCAATGAAAGAGAGTAGGAAGTTGGACCATGGATGAAATAAATCTTAGGGGCTTCTTCCTGTAGTAAACAGGCACAGTGTTTTGTCACCTTGAGCCCGTCTCCTTCACTGAGTGTATCATAAAAGACCACCATAGATCTATGACCTGAGGTTTATCCTCCAGCACACCTGATTCTTGATAGTTCCTCTAATTCTATCCAATCTGAATCAGTTCTGTTGGGTTTTCTGAGCCAATCAGTTCCCATACTCTTCTCTCTTTATTTACATGAAAATCCATAAGGAAGTTTTTTGCTATGGAAATTCTTTGTTTTTAATCCTTTCAGCCATGTTGAGTCAGCCAGGAACATGGAGCAACTGGTAAAGAAAACTGAGGATTATTCCAAACAAGCAATATCACTGGCTGGCAAGGCTTTGAGTGAAGCTGTTGGTAGTGACCTCAATGACAACCGTGCAATACAAGGACTTATGGGAAAGTATGTTTCAATGGGTCCTCATTGCACCACAAAACCTAAATTTTCCTAGGGCATAATGCACCATGTTTTTTTTTTTTTTTAAATGTATGCTATTCCTAATGTTAATTGCAGTGAGAAGAGAATGAAGATAATATTTTGGGCAAAGCAAATTTCTTTAAGACTGGAGGAAAAGCAGATGATTAATCTAAGTGCAGTTTATACTTTTATTGAATGATCACAATTCTTGGAGAGATGGTTACCCTCTGTAGTGTTTGAAGGGTGTATGTAAACTCATCTGACATTATAAATAATATAAGAATAATATGTATTATATTATCAGGAATTGGGAAGTTTGAGATGCCTTTTTCTGATTCTACTGTATAAACTATAAGGATATGTTTGTATTGGGAAGAGAGTCACCTACCTGACATGACCTTCCTTGGTTCTTCTTGTTATTTCAACTACATACTTTTAAAGCAGGAGGATGAGTTTTTGCTTCTATCAATAGTAAATTCTCAAGACCTTTTCCTTTTTATTCATCATCGCCCCTCCTCCCCACAGACTGGAGAAAACCAAGTCCCTGGCCCAGCAGTTGTCAGGGGAGGCCACTCAGGCTGACACTGAAGCAGATCGGTCTTATCAGCATAGTCTTCGCCTTCTGGATTCAGTATCTCAGCTTCAGGGAGCCAATGATCAGACGTTTCAGGTAAGGGCGCCCATCCTGTGTGCTTTATCAAGAAAAAGAAGTTATTGAGCTCATGGCTTTGGAAATGCGTGCCGTCGGCATCTGCATTGGCTCATTTCTGGCAAGGGTGGAAGATGGCAATGGTTGGGAGCTGTGTCAGAGAAAACGCTCACATCCTGATCAAGGAATAGAGAGAGAAGAGAATGGCAGGGTTGCACAATTCTTTTTAAGGGCACAAATTGACTTCAAACACCAGTGATCTAAGGACCTTCCCTTATGATCCCTCTCCCTAAGGCTTCACCACCTACCAGTAGCATCTCCCTGGGAGGAACCCTACTCATGCTCAAACCATAGTATTGACTCATTGCTATAGGCTAGGAGAAATATTCATCCTTTTATTATTCACTTTTTTGTTCTTAAACTCCAGTCCTAATCTCTGCAGAGGTCTCTTCATTGTCAACCTCTTAGTAGGCCAAAGTTTTATATCTCTTCCTTAATGCTGGGGCTGTTGAAATCTATGGGAAGTTATTATAGTTTGCTCCATCTGTATGTGCAGCCGATGAGAAGATATTTGGTATCAAGAGATTTGAATTGTTTCTGCCTTAATTTTCTCTTCACTATGCCAAACAATAGATTAAGTAGATTCTATTTCTGTGAACATTTTTTACTCTATAGGAAAAAGCACTCACAGTAATTTTCATGGACACTTTTTCCCACAGATATGTAAGCTAGTACGTAATTAAAAAAAACCAACAACAACAAGAAAAGAACAAAGATAAAACCTAATTGGTGCTTGGAGGCCCTGTTGCCTAACTTCACTGGGCATGTTGCTTTATTTCTGTCAGGCATGGAGGCTGGATGGCTAGAGACCTTTTTTTTTTTTTTTTTTTTTTTTTTTTTTTTTTTTGGCTTTTTAAGGGTTTTTCTGTTTTCATACAAAGATGTCAGCTCCTAAAAGTTCTTATTGGTGACTGATGAGCAGAAAGTCAGACTCACCTGTATCTTTGGGTCCACAGGTAGAAGCGAAGAGGATTCAACAGAAAGCTGATTCTCTGTCAAGCCTGGTGACCAGGCATACAGATAAGTTCAAGCGTGTGCAAAGCAATCTGGGAAACTGGGCAAAAGAAACCCAGAAGCTCTTACAGGACGGAAAGAACGAGAGACAGGTACCCGTTTGTTAACTTGTTCAATCAACAAGCATACAGTGTATATTTGCCGTCTAAAGGAATATGGGAAAGAGAAGCCTCAAAAGCTCTCTGAGGGTCATGGAAGGTCTGCTGTTTATAGAGGGAGCAATTGAGTCTCGGATCTCAGTGTAATTAGCTCCACCCAGCAATGGGAATAAGACCTAAGCCTCTGAGATCTAATTTTGGTCTGTGTACTAGCTTGGCTTCAGTAAGTGTCTAGAGAAATTGTGACTTGCAAAACTATTCCTGTCACTGATGGTGGACTAGCATTGAAGACTGTTCATGATAAAGTTTGCTCTGTCCCATGTTGTAGAGGCTTCGCTGCAGCACCCCTAGACTGAATCACAGCGCTCTGTTGTCATGAGGAGAATGTGTCAGCGTCATTTTGCCAGCAGGAATGCACTTATTCTAATCTTGTTCTATTTATAGAAATCAGATCAGCTGCTTTCTCGTGCCAACCTTGCTAAAAGCAGAGCCCAAGAAGCACTAAGTATGGGCAATGCTACTTTTTATGAAGTTGAAAACATTCTAAAGAACCTCAGAGGTTAGTGCTTCATGGTTCAGATTACTTGAGTATTTTAAAGGTATAGAAACAAAACTGATTTGCTTTGAACCATCACGTAGCTCTTTAAGTGGTAGGTATATGGGGTATTAATAGATGCATAGCAAATATCTTTCTAAAGAAAAAAGTCTTTTTAACATTTGGTAGTGGGAAAATTGAACTAAATGTCAGAAGACTTGTGTTCTCATCTCTTTGGGACCAGGTAAATAGGCAGTCTTGCTATGAGGCAGGCAACTCACATGGCCTTTCTAGACCATAAAAATCTTTTTTTTAATTAATTAAATTTATTGGCACATTTTAGTTATACATAACGATCACATTCATCATAGGGAATTTGTATCTTACATGATGTATCTTGGTTCTTTTTTTTTTCCATTCCCCTTCCCTCCCTTCAACCTCTCCACCCCTTCTTATTGACAAAAGTTTTGTTTCCACTTTTTTCTTCCTTTCTCAGTTTTTCTTTTCCTTTCTTCCTTTTTCCTGCCCCCCTCCTTAGTTCCCCTTCCCATTAATATCTATGATACATTTTGTTTTGTTTGCACTTTCAGTTTCTTACACCACAGAAACAATGCGGTATTTACACATGTGCCAGATTTATTTCACTTAAGAGTATGGTCTCAAGGTGCATCCATTTAGCTATGAATGTCCCAAGTCTATCCTTCTTTATGGTTGAGTAGTATTCCATTGTATTAAAAAAAAAGCCCACAACTTCTTTATCCATTCACCAGTAGATGGGCATTTGGATTATTTCCCAGATTTAACTATTACAGATTGTACCACTATAAACATGGGTGGGCATATATCACTGTGGTATGATGCTTTTAACTCATTTGGGAACATACAAAGAAGGGGAACAGCTGGGTCAAATGAAACCTCTAGTTATAGTTTTTGAGGAATCTCCACACTGATTTCCATAGTGGTTGCACCATAGACTGTAAAATCTTGCTTTTTTTTTTTTAATTGTTCTTTTGGGGGTTACTGGGGATTGAACTCGGGTCCTTGCGCTTGCAAGGCAGGCCACCAAACCACTGAGCTAAATCCCCGGCCCTTTTTTAAAATAAACTGTTTTTTGTTTTTGTTTTTGGTTTTGGTTTTTGGTACCGGGGATTGAACTCGGGTCCTTGCCCTTGCAAGGCAGGCCACAAATCTTGCTTTTTGAAGGGGAAAGATTAAACTAAGAGATCTCAAATATCCCTCATAGATACAACATACACTACTGTAAAGGTATTATTTCTTTTCTTTTGTAACCTGGTTACTGCGGTGATGACACAGTGACCTTTGTCATGGTATCTAGATTGAAGGAGGTCTGCGTCAAGGTTAAATTTTAGGATTCTTTACTAACAAACAACAGAGAAACTTTCCTAAAGTCGGGATTTTCTTCATAAAACGTTCCTCTTATCCATTCTACCCAAACCCCTGGCTCTTATCATTGGCAGCTTCTAGTGTCAAGCTTTGGGTTTCAGAGATTCTACTTGTTTCTTGTCCATTTTGATGCTTCTGCATTAGCAGGGATCAAGGGCAGGCTGAGAGTCAGTTTCTCTAAGGAAAGGACTAACTGCAGCCCCTCCAAAGCCTCTTTTCAAGTGCTTTCTTTTAGATAAAGAGAGCAATTCCGGTCACAGCTTCCCACACTCCCTCACCCTCAGTCAGTAATAATACTCTTTTAGGAAGTTTTCACCAGTCCCTTTCACTCATGTGTAAGTTAGTTTTTAATTCTTTTATGACATTCTTCATGGAAGTGTTTTTTCTTTCCTTCATTTCAGAGTTTGACCTACAGGTAGAAGACAGAAAAGCAGAAGCTGAAGAGGCCATGAAGAGACTTTCCTACATCAGCCAGAAGGTTGTGGATGCCAGTAACAAGATGGAGCAAGCTGAAGGGGCCCTGGGGAGTGCTGCTGCTGATGCCCAGAGGGCAAAGAGTGCGGCAGGGGAGGCTCTGGAGATCAGTGGCACAATAGAGCAGGTAAAGCACGACGAAGATGCGGGCGGGCATAAGCAGTGCCAAACACAACATTAGTGTGGGAGAAGAGAGAGCTCTGGGCTCATTTTGACCCCTGTGGTTCAGAGTCCTGTTGGTCCACATAAGGGCTAATTCACAGGCAGGAGTGACTATGCTCTAGCGTGCCCGTTCTCAGCTACCTTTTGGACAACCCTGAGAACCATCCAAGACTGTTTTTATGTAGATTATATTCATTTTCTAGGACTGCTTAACAAAATACCACAAACCAGATGGCTCAAAGCAACAGAAATTATTCTGTCAGTTCTAGAGACTAGAAATTCAAAATCAAAGGGCTGTGCTCCCTCGGAAGGCTCCATGGGAGAGTCTTGCCTCTTCCTTGCTCGCAGTGGTGGTCCTCAATCCTTGGCATCCCTTGGTTTGAAGCTCTATCACTGTAATCTTCATCTGTGTAAAACTGTGGTGTTTTCCCTCGAGGTCTCTGTTGCCTCTTACAAGGACATTAGTCACATCAGATAAAGGACTCAGCCTACTCCAGTATGACCTCATCGGAGCTTATTCATATGCTCAATAAACCAGTGTCCAAGTAAATCACATTCTGATGTACTGGGGTTAGGATCAATTTCAACAAATCTCTTCAGAAGGATACTGTTCAACCTGAACAACTATCCTTGTTTCAATTCCAGATTGTGAAATTGTGGAGCACTAGATCCTTTGGCCCAGTCTATGTCTCATGTCTAAGTTCCACTGGCTTCTTCTCTCTGTCTTGTGTGGTGTATGTGCACTGTACTTGGTGCTGGAGGTATGGAGTTAAGGAAGACCCTGTCTTTGAGGAGCACTCAGGGCAACAGCAGTTAGACAAACTGCACTTACAGCCCATATGTTAAATGCTACAGTGGAAGGAATGCTTCTGTGCTGGAGAAGAACTTCTTAGCTCTTAATCAGGCATGGCTTCTAGAGAACTTATGCAACTGTGGAAAGCTCACAGGGAACTGTTAGTACCCGAACAGTTTGACCTCACTTTTAAACCACTTGGGGACCCATAAAAATAATTTCTAATTTTAAGTCCCTTGAGGAAAGATACTAATTTCCTATACCTTTCCTTTTATCATTTCTAGAATAAAGACACCTGCCGGTTGATACTTGATGATAATTTCTTGATCAAGATATGGATAAGCTTTATCCTTATAAAAACAAAAACTCAACACTATTGCCCATTCATTCTCTGCACTCCAAACTCCACTGTCTGGAGGATCCTAGTAGTCATTCAGAAGACCATGGCAACAAAGGAACATGACAGAGTGATGCCAGTTTCTGGTCCTCTGGTTTTTCCAAATGGCTCCTATGTTCAACATTTGGTTAACACAGAATGAGAGGAATGCAGTGAAGCCCTCTTACTCTTAGAGACATATCCCAGAATTAACTCATTTGAGGCAGATCTTGGGAAGCGTATGTCCTCAGTCTGACTCTCTCGTTGTTCATTTAACTTAGCCCATCAGGGCCAGGCTGCAGCTGTATTTTTCTACGTTTGTCTCTTGGATATTTTTGAGTCTCACTTCCCTCTCTTCTTCCGTCCTTGGCTCCTTTTCTTCCCCCAGGAGATAGGGAGTCTGAACTTGGAGGCCAATGTGACAGCAGATGGGGCCTTGGCCATGGAAAAGGGACTGGCCACTCTAAAGAGTGAAATGAGGGAGGTGGAAGGAGAGCTGGCCAGGAAGGAGCTGGAGTTTGACACAGACATGGATGCGATGCAGATGGTGAGAGAGACTGCTCCTTTCCATGGGAGAGCCCTTCAAGTTGCCAAGAAGGAAAAGAGCATTTTGAGACAGGTTTGCTCTTATTTTTCTGCAGGTGATTACAGAAGCCCAGAGAGTTGATACAAGAGCCAAGAATGCAGGTGTTACAATCCAAGACACACTCAACTCATTGGACAGCATCCTACACCTAATAGGTCTGTGGCATCTCTACAACCTTCCAGCCTCTTGCTCTAGGTCTTTTCCCAGAAGACTTGCTATTTCTAGCCCTGAGGAATGGGAATCTCAACTTTCCCTTCGAGTATCCAGAAATGTGCTTTGTTTCAACACCCAAAGACTTTGGGCAGGGTAGTTATAGTTTCTGCATTCTGTTTTACCACCTCTGGGATGAGTCATTGAAAAACTTATTGTACTTAGATGTGGAAGTCTGTGGGTCAAGAACAGAGTGTACTCTTCCAGGAACTTCAGAGGATACTGGACAGCTTGAGGGTCCTGTGAATGAGTCTGGCCTTGATCCTGAGAAGCCAGTGGGCAGTTATAAGCAGAGAAATATGATGAGCACTGTCTATTTAGAAAGCTCATAAGGGCAGCTGAATGGAGGGAAGTTTGAAGGGGGAATTATTCAGAAGGCACAGGAAAGTCAGTTAGGATACTATTGAAAACTGAGAGGCAGTGGAGGAAGAGGTGATGGGGAAGATGTGGAGGAAGATCCTCCTTGTCTGCGAGGTCAAGAACTACTTGTTGACTTTGCTGTCTGTTCCCCCTCAAACCAAAGTTATCCCTTGATGTAACCCACTGGGGAAACTGGAGCTGCCTGGGCAGACGACCTAGAAGAAATGCGAGGACACTAGTATCATGGACCTATGTCCATAAGACAAAGCAAAATTTTAGGGTAGAATAGCTTTGATAGCAGGAATCAGGTTTCCCCCGTACAGTCACTCCTAGAGAAAACCGAATTTAATTAAACCGCTTGATGTAGGTAAAGCTGATATCAAAGACTCATTTGTTTAATCAATCTAGGGCTGCACTAGATGAGGAGGTGCAGATTTGCCCACAGATTCTGGTTATGTCCAGGAAAAGACTTAGGTCTATTTTTCTACTTCAATAGAACAACTTTAAAATCCAATTTTTCTGTAGGGTGTCACCATCACCCTGAGGTGACAATATTGCCCGTGTTGTCATATTAATGAGTCTACTTTGTGATCCAGTAAGTAAACTACCTCCTAAGGACACAAAATAACTCCCTCAAGTGAGATTTTATTAGCAATGTTTAGTATTTCCAAAATGGTAATGAAATTAATGGAACCTTTAAAAAGAAAGCAAGAGCCGGGCATGGTGGTGCATGCCTGTAATCCCAGTACTCCGGAGGCTGAGGCAGGAGGATCGCTGTGAGTTCAAGACCAGCCTGGGCTACATAGTGAGTTGCAGGTCAGTCTCAACTACATAATGAGGCCCTGTCTCAAAAAACAAAACAAAAACAAACAAGAAAGCAGAGAGAGAGAAGTGCAGTGGAAACTATTAAGCATTTACCATGTGTCAGGTACAATGCCAGGTGTTTCCATGATGTCATGCAATTGAAGTCTTATAATAGTCCTAGGAGGTGAGTTTATTATTTGTATTATTTTAATTCACAGAGGAATAAATGGAAATTATGGAGACAGGGTTCAAACTGAAATCTCTTTATTTTCAACATTACTATTCTTTTCTAGTAGCTCAAGCTGCCTCCTCATGGACTTGGTTATTTTGTTCCCACGCTGATTTAAGTATCCCTGAATGTTGCAGAACCTTAAATTCTTGAATTCTCCCCTGTCCCCAGGCAAAGGGCAGGTCCATTGGCTCAACATTTTTGTTATGATAGTGTTTGTACTCTCTGTGCTCTCTTGAGGCCTGGAAACATAACTGATTAATTGCTCTAGGTATAACAATCTCATGCACTCAAATACTCTCTCCACAGCTCAGATATGTGATCTTGGGTGTGAACTGACCAAGGTCAATTCAAACTTAATTGAACAAAATGGGTCTGGCCAAATGCCCTTCATGCTAACATTGGCTTTATATTGTTTATGGGTAAAAACATACCTGAACAAATGTGATTACACTTTACACTAGAAATATACTGGTACCTAGCCAGATTCTCACTGTTTTAGTCCAAAATTAAGTCTTACATCATTTTCTAACAGCTGTAATCCATCCCTCAAATAGCAAAGCATACCTTGGCCTCTGTAAATCCTGACGCCCAGCCAGTTTCTGGAGACCTTCTAATAGAAAACAGCAAGCTATTTCCTAGGGGTGATTCAGAGAGCATATTTGGAGTTGATTCTGATCACAGGAGTGAGCTGTGTTAGGCAGACACTTTGGGTAGTGTTCAGTCCCCTATGACCTTCGGTCTTCGTCTTCTCAGAGCATGATCTATTGGCTTAACCTGAAAGGTGAACTGCACACTTCATATTGCTGGACTATGGCTCTCAGATTCTTGAACTGAGTTGTTCATAGCACAGTAACAAGGCTAACACTCTCTGGACTTTTCCTAGATTATAATTTAAAATAAGTCTTTATGTACATGTACTGACTTGCCATAATAAATGTAATCATTATGTCCTGCAGACATGAACTAATAAAAAATAAGCCTTTAAAGTTCATGACATATATTTGCTTGGGGCAGGTGAAAACAGGAATTTGTTAAGCGTATAGAAGGGCACTCATATGTTCCAGAAGATCTAACCACAGATTTTCTATGTTAATGCATTCCCGCCTCCCTAAAATAGACCAGCCTGGCAGTGTGGATGAAGAGGGACTGTCCTTACTGGAGCAGGAGCTTTTCCAAACTAAGACCCGGATTAACAGCCAGCTGCGGCCCTTGATGTCAGAGCTGGAGGAGAGGGCACGTCGACAGAGCGGCCACCTCCGCTTCCTGGAGACAAGCATAGATGGGATTCTGGCTGATGTGAAGAACCTGGAGAACATCAGGGACAACCTGCCCCCGGGTTGCTATAATACACAGACTCTGGAGCAGCAGTGAAGCTGAACTTGATGGAGGTTCTTGGGATCCAGACCTCAGGGCTCAGGGAGCCATCACATGTGGGTGGGGGGGGTGGGGACATTTGAACATAGTTGATGGATGTGCTCAGGTCAACTGACCCCACCCCTGAGATCAGGCCCCCTCGCTGTCTTACTGCACCAGTTTGGTAATATTCGCTTCCTGATATCGCTGGGCAATGAGTCAGATGGCATTGGGTGTGAGACTGATGGAAGACCTGGACTCCCACAGCAGACTGGTTGGAAGGAAAAACTACCATGCGGACATTTGCCCCAGAACATTTAGAAACAGTTCTGGAGCCTGGACAAGTGCTGCTGGTTTATGGTTATTATTCTTTGAATAATGTGACTAAAGGAAACATGTTTTACTCCTCCCAGGCATTAAAGATTCTTCCTAATGTCAGAACAGAGTGATGTCCAGTTACACTGTGGCCAGTAAGATCCTGTAGCTTCCTGTTGTCCCCTGTAGGCTTCTTTACAACCAGGGTTCCTCCCACTCACTACCCATTGCACAAGCATGAACTCCATTTGCAAGATAGAAGTGAGCAGGGGTGGACTGAGGGCCTGCAAGCGTGGCCTAGTCCATCGGGAACAGCAGTGCTGGCTGGTGACTGCCACACTCATGCTCCAGGACTGGGAGTGACACCCTTTCTCATAATGATGCCTTGGCATCCTGGGGATGGTATTTTTTTTTTTTTTTTTTTTGGTACCAGGGATCGAACTCAGGTCCTTGTGCTTGTGAGGCAGGCCACTGAACCACTGAGCTAAATCCCCAGCCCTGGAGATGGTATTTTTGTTAAAGCATTTTTTTTTTTAAACCAGCAAATCAAACACTGCAAAGGTATTTACTTTTGGATTTCAAAGTGATGGGGAAAAAATGTCACTTGGGCATTGATTGGAAAAAGGGAAATTATCAAAAAGATTCGTTAGCCCTAATTCAATCCTGCTTTTAAAATATTAAAAATATCTTATCCTCTCTCTCCCTGTAGCAGAAAATGTCCTCAGTCATACTTGAGCTAGGCACTATCCATCCTTCCATCCATATTTCCAAAGTGTATTTATTGAATCTGTCTTGTGTACCAGGGCAGGGATCCAGACCTCAGTACGGAAGTGACATATTCTTTGCCCTTCTTAGTAGTTGACTGGTCAGGAAGACAAACATAAAAAATATAATAAATTTAAACTTAAGTTTTGTTAGCCATAAGTGATATTTATTCCAATCACCCCTTGGTTTGCAACCTCTCTTCTCAACAGAACATGTGTTGCAAGGCATCCCCGTGGGGGAACTTGAGTTGGGACAAAGCCGACATGGCTCTGGGTTTTGCACATCTCTCTGCATTCCAGCTGTCCTGTTCCCCTGCCACAATGGATTGCAAAAGACTGTTGAGTCATGGTAACCAGTGGGAATTGCTGAAGGAACCAGAAGCACTATCATCTTGGCTTGGAACTTTCCTCATGCTTCGTTTTATTTCCTTGGCTTTTGACGGACATGTTTTTAAATAAGGAAAGCCCAGTGTCAGTTTCTGATTTTTATTAAACTCTAAGATGAAAGTTAAAAAACACAAATGTAAATGAAAATGCCACTAGAATATCAGTGGATCCTAGCATGGGCTGGAGATGTAGCTCAGAGATAGTACACTTGCCTGTTATGTCTGAGGTCCTGGGTTCCATTCCCTGTTTCTGAGTATCTTATTTTACCCTTTCCACCCATGAGAGCACCTTGAGATTTTAGCTGATGCTGTATCTTAAGCATAAAGAGTATTTATTTCTAGAACAACCCAAGCTGGGTTGAGAGTATAATTAATATTCTTGGGAGTATAATGAATATTTTTTCACCGTATAAAATAAATGTAAAATCAATGGTCTGTTGTGCATACTTTTAATAAGTTAAAATGAAATAAAGTATAGTTTTGAACTGGCATCTACCCAAGTGGCTGAGGAAAGGATTCTCTGCTCCTGTCCACACTGACTCCCAAAATTTTGATAGATCTGATCACTTTACCCTGTTTGTAGAAGTGACTTTATAACTCTGTCTTGGCACATTAAATCATACATCCTATAAATTTCCTAATTGTAATTAATGTCCAGAAAAATGTATGTCCATTAAAGTAACTTCTGTGTCATGAAGACCTTAAAATATGCCATAAGCTAAGCACGCAGACTCATATTTCTTTGTCCCATAATAGACTGGATGGAGAGCAGGCTGCCAGGGTGGCCCTCACATAAGACTACATTTGGTGGGAGAGAGGGTTGTCGCCATTCAGCTGGGTGGAAGGAAAAAGAACACGGATATGGAGGGGAGGCCTCATATGCCAGTTGTTCAAAACACATTATTATGGCACACTTAATTTGAAAGGGGTCTGAAACTCATCTTCACCACTAAGCCCCTCGGTGGAAAGCCATTGCTTTGAGACAATTCCTCACTATGAAAACGGAACATGAGTTGTTGGCGATTGGCTATCTCTGCTAAGCATAGGATTAGACAGTATATATTCTAGGGAACCTGATGGGGGGATCTTATTAGCGAAGAACCATGGTATATAGAATCATAAGAGGATTCCTCAGTGAGACGCATTGATAAGAAAATCATAAGAATGTCCTTCCTGACAGAGCATCAACCCTGAGTTGAAAGGGGTAATGAAAAATGGCTATTGGTAGTCTTTTGATAAGGACTTGACAAATTAACCCTAAAAAAAGGTGGTGGTTGGCAGTGATATGGCTTAGAAGTAGTTTACTGAAGCTCTAACTTCTGGTTGTCAGTCTCAACCTGACCCTGACAAATTAAGGGCCTTTCCTTCTGGTTTCTTGTCACTATTTAATTTATATGACAATGATCTCACACTTGTCCTCTCTGAGTTTTCTGATTCATTGTTCTATTGGCATGCTATTATACATATCATCATCTTCTTTGACTCACAGTAGATAGGAGAGCGATAGAAACAAAACTGCCCATAGACTATAACTTTTCAGCAGCTTTATTTTTTATTTTATCCCAGGATGCGGTCTCTTTCTAGTACTCTTTGGAAGCTAGAAAAACGAGTAAGAAGATATTAAGTACTGTCCAGTGTTTGGGACAAGTCTTGACGACCAGGAATATGTTTATCATGTCTTCTTTTAATGTTTGGCACAGTCATGGGAATGTTGTGGATTCTTGCTGTGGTTTGGTTTTCCAAGTGGGAAAACATAGATTATATTTTTTCTGCTTTATACTATTGGCCATGAGGAACTTCTTAAGAAATCCCAAGATCTGAAGTTTATTCATGAAGCATAAGAAATGTGTTTATGAATACTGATTCATATTTAGTATATATATTTTTGTTAGTATAACTTAGCAAATTAAGCTGGTGTTTAGATTCAATTTTTTGTTTTGTTTTGTTTTTGTTTTTTTGAGACCGGGTCTCACTACGTAGTTAAGCCTGACCTGGAACTCACTATGTAGCCCAGGCTGGTCTTAAACTCACAGTGATCCTCCTGCCTCAGCCTCCCAAGTGCTGGGATTATAGGCATGCACCATCATGCCTTGCTTAGCTTCAGTTTTAAATATATTTGCATTATTATGCACTCTTGGGACAGGAAAAACAAGTGTCTAGCTCTGTGAACAAAATAGCAATACAAACTCAAGTAATAAATTTACAAGGTATATCAAACATTTTTATAAGGTGCCACAAAACTCACAAGGATGCACACAAAGCTGGTGTTATAGCTTGTGTTTAGATGTCTCCCCAAAGCCTCGTGCAGTCCTAGGTGGGGCTTTTTCAGAGGTGGCCAAATCTAGGGTGTATGTTTGATTCCTGGTGCAATGCAAGGATTAAGGGTGCTAGGATTAAGAGTGGGTGATTACTAAATCAATCCACTGATTCCTTTGGCACCACCCTAATCCTGATAGCTTGAATACAATATAAGGGTCAGAAAGAGGCCTGTCTTATCCCTTGCTTGCTTTGCTACCTTCTGCCCACCATGAACTGTTTCTCTTCTGCAATGCCTGTCTGCTATGCCACCCTACCTCAGAGCCAGCTGATTGTGGGCTGAAACCACTACAAACTGTGAGATAAATAAACCTTTTTTTCCTTTACCTTTGTGTGTGGGGTATTTTGTCTCAGTAACAACAACAACAACAACAAAAGTAGCTAAGAGAGAATTTGGGACTAGAGAAGTAGGGTCATGGATGTGACTGTACCTGACCATGTGACTTGGGAACCTTTGGAGCTGGCTTGTGGGAGAGGAGAGAGTGAGGAAAGGTTTGGAGACGCCAGCTGAAAAAACAGAGCCAGAACACCTGAGGCTGTACTTGATAGGAGATGCTGGTCGGAGTTCAGAAGACAGAGGTTGATAGAAATCCTGCCAGTAGAGGCTAGGGATTTAGCTCAGTGGTTCCGTCACCTGCCTTGCAAGTGCAAGGACCTGAGTTCTATCCCCAGTACCAAAAAAAAAAAAAAAACAGAAATCCTGACAGTGAAAACCAGGCTTAGGAGGTGTCTGCTGGGAAGAAGGCCTACATTGGCTCTTAGACTCCAGAAAATGCATGTTATACCTTAGCAGAAAGTTTGTTTGCATTTTGCTCATGTCCAGAGACTGCCTGAGACTAAGATTAAGGGCAGCAGACTAATTAATCTTTTAGAAGAAATTTCAAGGTCATCTAGTATTGAGGCTGTGGCATGGCTGCTCTTAGCCAGATCTATGTTTAGAATGAAGAGCAAAGAGGCCAGCAAAATTATTAAAAACATTGTGAATTTGGCCAGAAAGGAAGCACCAGTAAAACTGCGGTCTGCAAAGATAGAGCAGAGGAGATCTTTATTGCCGAGAAGGAACAAGAGAATAGAAAAAGTGGCTCGAGGACATCACACAAAACAGTGTGACTTCAGCCTTTGCAGCCTCAAAACTGCAAAAGTGAAAGACTTTGCTTTGAGGAGGGAGCCCCAGAGCACCAGGTTCCAGAATAGTGGTGGCCTGGGGAAGTTGTTCCTCAGGATTTGGTTCATAGTCTCTGGACCCCTACAGCCAAGACAGAAAGAAGCCTGGCTAG